AAAAGTTTTGCTTTGAGATACACTATAGAAATAACTAGAAGATTGTCATTTTGATGGAACAAATGATCACATCAGAGGGCTGATTTGAGAGGTCTCCCCTAATAATAGTAGATAATATGAAAATAATAGAGATTTTCTTGATAGCATTCTCAAAAGCAGGGCTTGTCCTGTACAGATCACACCTTAAATTCCCCACATCTTTTTTTTTAAAAGCTCTGTCATATTTTCTCCCATCCAGAGTGGGACAACAAACAAGCCTTACAACTCTATGTAGCCTTCGGAAGGCCGAGGTAATGAATTCACTGCCATTGACAGTTGCAAGGCTTACAGAGACGAATGACTCAGTTTCAACCTGCTAATGTTCAGAATACAATGCAATCTACAATTAGGGACCCGCTGGTAAATGTTATTAGCTAGGCAGAGAACACATATGCATATTCCAGATGACATTTTAATCAAAATACTCTTTCATTTTAATCCGTTAAGAGAAAAAAATATAACAGAAAAAAAATACTTATGACGAATGTTTGTTCTTGGCTCTCGATGATTCATAGTTGCCATGGAGCTTGCTTTGATTTATAAGGAAAATCATTACTGTAGGAGATAAAATTAACTATTTGATTCCACCGACTAGCATATTAAAGGTAGAATCATGTTAAAAGATTTGCAGTTCCATATTGAAAATAAAACAAATTTACAAGCTAAGAAAATTAAAAGGAAATCTTTTATGAAAGAAATATGTAGGCTGCAATTACTGAACTGTGCTTCTTAAAATTATGGTTGTCTTGCTGCCTTACTGATACTTTCTATAATACAACCACGAACGAACATGCTGAATTTTGACTTTCTCCATCTTTCATCTGCATACTTCCATAACTGAGATGCACAGAAGGCATTGCACCCTGTTTGTCTTTCATGAGAGGTTGACTCTACGTGTGGGCTCTATAACCCATCTCTGTAGTCCAATTAGAAGGTAATGGGCTTGACTCATACGCTGTGATAACTCACAACTGCTCAGGTTAAGCTATAAGTGAAAAAGTAATATATTTTTTTTATATATATATATATATGTGTGTGTGTGTGCGTGGGTGTGTGTGTGTCAAAAAATTCAAAGAAAACAATGGTTTAGCCTAAAGTGCATCAGTGCCCAAACTATGGACATTAAACTATCTACATATTCATAACAAGCAGTAAAATGACCTCTCTAGCTGCTTTAAATGTGAAGTTATTCTTTATCTAAGTTCCTCAAAGATCACAGCAAAAACTAGAACGTTTTATATTATATTTGTTATTTTTAGCCCTGATCATTAAAAATAAAATTAAAATATGTACAATATATAGTTTAAAATGGCTTTCTACTTTACTTGACAAGTTATCCAATTCAGTCTTGAACTAAGCAATTCATTAATATTTTTGTTCCATGAATAACCTTTATAGCTTTAGAATATCAGAACTGCAGCTTTAAAAACCATAAAATTGATGACCGCTTTCTGCACATATTCACATTAAAGCAAATCTATGCTTTGCCCATTCAGGACACCACCATAAACTCTCCAGGCCTCCAAGGTACTATGCCACACCTTGATACATTGCCCACAAGTACGCACCAATCACAGAGAGGGCAGGTCACACTGTGCCCCCCTTAAAGGAAATTGATGATGCCCCTTTAGGATCCCCTTAAATAAATATCAATAATTTTCAAAGAAAGCAAGACACGATGCTTCACTCCTAAAAAGGCCCCCTGAATTGGTGGTTGTCTAGCAGAGTCAAGTCAAACTTTACAGCTCGTAGATCCATAAGTTTTATAAGAACCTGGTGTAAAAAGTGCCATACAAAAGCAGCCCTGTCAGTAAAAATTCACTCAGGTCTACCTGCAAAAAGAAGAGAGTGAATGCTTACCTTTCCTGCTGCCCACACTGCCAGAAGGTCATTCCGTTCATGAGAAATCTTCCTCTGAAGTCTACTGAGAAACCATAATTTTCAGGTGTGTTGACCTCCATGGTTTCCCTGCAATGCTCAATGGTTCCTGCTGCTGACAGTACTGTGTCCTGTAATTATGTGGAAGTCAAAAGGAGGAACCATTGAGAGCAGAGGAGGGCCAAAAGGATCCACACTCTTGGGGGTAGTGTTTTATAAATAAAATAATTGAAAGAAATTGTGAACTTCCTATTTCCCCGTGCACTGATTTTATATAAAGCATTGACTCTAAACCTTCAATAGAGCGTTAATTAAAGACCAACTCCAAAATAAAATTGAAACCCTTTCATTCCTTCTGCCCCCTCCCTCCTCACTAATTCTTGGGCTGAAAAAAAATACTTTCTAAGTCCCCTTTTTCACTTACATTAAGCCACATCACATGATCATCCAGCACCAAGTCCTTCTCCTCTCTGTATACCTCCTGGGGTTCATCTTCCAGTTGTCCATGGCACTGTGACATGGACAATGGACAATTTACATTGGTTGTCCACTGGAGGTGTCCTCTCAGGATCCAGAAGACTACTGGCATTGGCCCGAGGGAAGTCAACGGGATTGGCCGGCAAGGGTTACTGTGTAGTACTGGATTAGCAGTCTCTACCGGTGAGGGACCTGGAGGGGGGATTCAGTGTCAGTTCCAAGTATAATTTGCTTCACCAATTAAGAAAAATGAAACACCTGTCAGGATAGTTTAGAGAGCGTGGGAGGAATGGATGGCAGGGAGTCGGACATTAAACTGGGAAAAGAAGACAACCGTTTTGGCCTAAGCGGACTTCAGTCATTTTGCAAAATATATTTAAGTTGTTCTACTTTGGTATATGAGAATTCTTTCATCTACCCCTTCACAACAACATTTCTAATCTTTTATGGCTATTTGGATTTAAATAATTTATAGTCGTTATTGAAGTTCCATTAAAGAAAAATTCCACATAGGTGAAGAAGCCTTTTTTTGCGAGATCTGCGAGATAGGACAAAATCAAATGCATATTCCACAATATTATCATTTAGGAATGATAGTTAAAGTGTATTTAACCAGTTTTAGATTCACCTTCTCTATTGGTTCATCTGACCACAGTTACTAGGACTGGAATGGGGGAATTTACACTTGTTCCAGTAACAAGTGTCTAAGAGGAGAATATCCTTCATTTGATGATATTTCCTCTCACTTCCTGTTGTGTGTTAAGATAGAAAGTAAAGAAAAAAAAAGAAAACTAAAGGGTTTTACCATGGCCTTCTTTATCCAAAGCTAAAGAATAGTTGTGGGTTTAGATATACTTTAAGTAGAATGTGAATGGATAAAGATGGAAGTAGATGTAAAATAGAATTTGCAATCATCAATTATGGAATGAGATTGATGTATTACCTGTATATGTTGGGGAATACCACAAATCTCTGAACTTCTTGCCTGTTTGTAGATAATGGTCCATATAGAATTGCAGACATCTTAATGGAGTCCCCAAAAGTCTCCTGAGCATAAATTTGAATTTCTTTATTTGGGTATAAGACCCATGATCACTGCAGCACCCTCTAGTGTAAAAAATTAATTTCGCGTGATAAAGAAAAGAACAGGATGTTGTCTATAAAGACTATATCTAGAGGTGCCCATGCACCTATTGATTTTCGTTCCGAAATCGTCTACGAGTGGTCTTTCAAGCGATAATCGATCAGTTGATGGGACACCAACGATTTTAAATACTGTTCTCCTGGCCGAATTTCCTCCATTGGCCAGGCTGGAAAACCTTAATCGAAACGTGTGAAAATGGAACTACGAAGTACGGCTGGAAACAGCTCTAGAGTGACGGTGAGAATTACAGCTAGAGCTACTTTTTTTTATACAGTTGGGAGAAACTATCAGGGAAAAAATAGTCTGCAATTGGGCTTTCACATGTTTCAAATATAATTTTTACTGCTTTTAAAGCAAACTTCCGAGATTAATAAATATTGTCTAACTCTAAATGCAAGAGGCATATGTGCCGCTGCTTGAATCTTGGTGTGCTTTGTGGATTTCTTCCAGATCTGTACATTAATCCAGTGCGAAATGTTCCCATTGCCCAGGAACGTTTAATAAAGACCAGTCACTGCTGCTCCCTCTCCTTGTGCAGGGTGACTGGTCTTGTCTCCGTCCACTTCTGAGTAGTTTCCTACAGCCTGTAGTGGCCGGGGCCTGTTGGGTCCCTCCCACGGCTCTGCTCTTAGCAAAGCAATGTACAGCACAGTGATGATGTCACCTCTACTTTTACAATGTATTATTTGGGTTTGCAAAGGTATTTGGTATACACAAAACAGATTTATATCCTCTGTGGCTATTGAAGAATGTATTTAAATAAATGTTTTAGTGCCTGGAGGTTAGCTTTGAATCTAAATACATTTTATACAGTATATAATACCTTATGATCGTGCCATGAACGTCCTTATCCAGGCACTTCCTGTTACTGAATGACAACGCATATGAAGACTAAAAGTTGCTGTTTTAACACACATCACACAGGCATTACCCTTATTATGAAATCCAATCTGAGAAATGTCAAAGCAGTATTTTGTGAATGTAGAAAGGAAGTAACTGCAGGAGATTAACAGAACTGAGATGCAATAAAGGATGATAAAGAGGTTGGTATTTTATTTGAAACGTGGCAAATGTTTACAATACAATAGCAAGCGAAATGTCATTCAATTAATGTTTAAATTTGATTATGTTTTATAACCATCACACGGTGAATGATACAGTTTATATATCTGATCACATGGCACATTTTTTTAATGTCTGATCACATGTTGCATACAGTGTTTTATTTGTTTATGGTCTTCGTGGATTTCCAGCAGAGCAATCACTGGGCTGCCTGAGAAAGCGGTGACGAAGTGCTCCCCGAGCCTGTGGATCAGCTGGCCGTCCGCCCAGCACACGGAGAAGCTGCTGCCTCCACTTACTACAAGTAAAAACTCATCCACCTCCAAACAAGACAGATATAACGTAAGAGCCGCCGCAGCCAATCGCGCCTCATCTGCCCTAGCAGAGCTCCTCCCACAACCAGAGGCGGTGGCGGCGAGCCATTTCAACACTGCTGTCCATATATCCTGTCGTCCGCGTTCTCGCGAGATCATGCAGATGAGCGTCGCGGGCGCGCGTCGAGTGTGCGCAGCCGGTCGGGGCCTGCAGACGTCTGTGTGACAGTAAAGAGAAGTTGGGTGTGGGCCCCGGAGCCGGCCGAGACAGAGTCGCCGAGGCGATAGGGAGGCCTCCGGAAGACCCCCTTCCAGGCGCACGGGAGGAACGGAGGAGAACTGCGGATAAGGGAGGGCAGCACCCGGGGCTGGGAGGGGGGAGGGAATGAAGATGGCGGACGCCAAGCAGAAGAGGAACCAGCAGCTAAAGCGCTGGATAGGCTCGGAGACCGACTTGGAGCCGAACATCGTAAAGCGAAAGAAGTCCAAGGTGAAGTTCGACGACGGGGCCGTGTTTCTGGCCGCCTGCTCCAGCGGGGACAGCGATGAGGTGCTCAAATTGCTGGACCGGGGGGCTGACATCAACTACGCCAATGTGGACGGACTCACCGCCTTGCACCAGGTACCCGTCACTGAGCAGCACTGCGGACAGCAGGCTCACATGACCCTGCACGGTGTCCTAAGGGTTCATTGTAGGTGTGCTGGGGAATGTGGCTGACACCTGGCTCTGTGTAGGCCCCATACTGAGCCTCCCGAGTTCCTGTCTGCTTCTGTCTGTGCTCCCAGGTCTGGTCATGTCACTTCTCAGAGGGGGCACACACAGTACTAGGTGATCACACTCAGCTGGACCTGTTTCTGCACTCCTCCAAGTCTCCTCGTAGCTTCATATGAGTGTCACAAACATACTGGGCAACTCAGATAAACATCTGCCTTGACTCATTCCATTGGATTGGAATAAAGTCTATGGCTACCCCAAACTTTTATTTTGTTCTGTATTAGAGTTTTGGGTAGGCAAGGGTTAAAACCCCTGCCAGCTCATTATGGTTGTTGCTGCTGCCTTTGTACCATGGGTCGAGAGGGGGGGGGGGTTTAATCTTCACTTCCTATTCTGTAATTATGTAACAGGAAGTCAGAGGCAATCTCCCGAAGTGAGTAGAATTCTACTTTAAAGTTGGCCATTCATTGTTAGAATTTCTGCTGATTGCTGTACACTTTTTTTTAAATCTGGGGGTGGCCCTGCCTGCTCAACAGAAGTCCATTACTCAATTGATTTTATTCAAGGGGGCTGGACTGAAAATTGTTGAACAGTGAGAGCAGCCAATTGGATGCAGTCCCTGTACATGTATTTTGACAGCAGAAGGTGCCTGCTCTCAGAATTCAGTAGCCCAGCAGGAGATTTGTACATGCTTGCTGTTTAGCATGGAGTAATTTTATTAGATTTTTACGGGCTGAATTAAAAATAAATCTGTTGATGTATGACCAGCTTCAGATTGGCTTTCTAGAGTGTCCCCTCACTTTCTTAGTAACACTGGCCCCCAGTACAATTAGACGGGTGAATCTACCCGATAGCGATTACAATCTTCCGTGTCAAGTTTTTATTGCCATCATCAGCTAGATTCCCCCCTCTATTTGACTATTTCACTCTCCAGAATTATAATAAAAAATGCCTAGAGCAGAGGTGGGCAATCTTGGCACTCCAGCTGTTATGGAACTACAACTCCCATGGGGCTTTGCAATACAGCCACGAGCATGACTCCCACAGGAAGGTGGATGATGGGATTTGTAGTTTCACCACAGCTGGAGTGCCGCTATCTACCTCTGGCCTTGAGATACTTTAAAGTGACAGCGGTGCGGTTGTAAATGCTGGGCTATGATCCTGACGCTTGGATGAGTGGAGAAATGTCTTTGACGTTACAGAACAGGTCCAGATGAATGTGACCTGACAACTAGTTATAGCATGACCTGCGTAACTAAGAACCTGTGGCATGTTGCATACATATTTTTACAGTCAGCTTAGCAGTTCGCTGTCATTCAGATTCTGGAAACCCTTCAAAGAAATGTCACAATAGGCGTGGTGTGTTTACAAATAGTTTTTCAGTGAAATGTAGTTGGATTCTTGGGTTGTTTGGGGGGGGTGAATTTGTTGTCCTTTGTTATGATCTTTAGTTCTTTGACATCCTGTTGTGATGGTTTCAAGCAGTCCAGAAATGTCTTGGTTAGATTGCAGTAAAGAAGTTTGTAGGAGTTGGCTACTAACTTGTTGCTTTTATTTGCTCTTGCATTGTTTGCTTTGACACAAGTGAGTGTTGTGGTTTGTAAGTTGTGTGGTCATTTGTGTGTTTTGATGAACTTGTATAATTAGGGCAACGTTTCCCTTCACAGGTAGTGTAATGGTTAGTGGGTTACTTATGTGTTTGTTTTTTTTTTTTTAACCTCTTGCCGTCCGCCCGTAGTAAAAAAACGGACGGACGGCACTGCAGCATCTGCGGGTTGCCGTCTCCAGACGGCAATTTTTTTCTGCGCGCGCCCCCTAGCGGGCACGCACGGGCAGAAAAGACCCTTCCAATGTTGACGGAATAAATGTCAGTTAAAGTACCGCATCGCTGAATACAGAAAAATGGCCTGGATGGGAAGGGGGTTTAACACCGCGGATGTCAACTGGTTAAAGTGACACTAAACTCGGGAGTTAGACCTGAAAAATGCATTCAAGTACACAAATGTAGATCCTCAAATCATCTCTGAATTGGTGCTGACACTGTCCTTCCTTCTGGAGGGTGTCTACTTTTGTTCCCCATGGTTCCTGTGTGTGTTGTAAAGTAGCCACCGCTCCAAGCTCACTCCTGCGATGGACTACAATCTCACGTTTAGTTTACTAATATGTATTAAGATTGTAGTCCATCACGGGAGTGAGCTTGGAGCAGTGGCTACTTTACAACACAAAAAAAGTAGCCCCCCCTCCAGAAGGAAGGACAGTGTCAGCGCCAATTCAAAGATGATTTGAGGATCTACGGCCAAGTGATACACAAATAAGATACATTTTTGGTAATAGTTATTTGAATGTATGTTTAGGATTTAACTCCTGAGTTTAGTGTCACTTTATTGAATGCTCTTTCTGCTGGATGACATTTGTAGAATGTTTTTCTATTTTTCTTTTAACTTACAAAGAAAGTAAGTTACAGTATGTTGAGGTGGTTAAACAAGTTACCAGCTTATTACAATGTACACCGTCCTTTTTTTTTAATCGGACATACATTACACGGAACTTTCATTTAGACTACACACCAGTAAACTGTTAAGGTGAAAGTTGAATCTGATTTGCACTGTTCAAGGTCATAAAACATTGTAGTTCTTGTCTAAACTTGTGGTCTTAATGGTATGGTCTATTGATATTCTAGGCACCAATGTATAGAAGAGTTGTGTTTAGAAATGTTAGCAGTCACGTTTCCTTAAAATGAATGTGTTGTGTATGTTATGTTTGTGGGTTGCTGATTGGAATCTCTGTGTTGGCCAAATAAGGGCAGGTTAGCAATGGGAGATAATGCACGACGTGGTGAGCACTTGTCAGAGTCGGGCTCCCTTTGCAATGCAGATCTTTGCAAAATGACTGACAGATGGAGTAGTGCAAAAACGATATGTTTAGACATTAAACGTTTTATGTTCAGACTAATTGCACTTCTTGGTTACCTACACTCCTAACTTTTAACTTTGCAGGGTCCCATGCATATGTTTGTGAAGGAAAAATGGATGTTCTCCACTAATCAAATTCTCCTTTACAAGTTTCCAGTGCACTGTGAAAAGTAGTTGCTGTAAACTTCCTTTTTAGAGGGTTTTAAGTGTAAGCACCCTCTTTTTATTATTCCATTAACATGACACTAAACTTAGGAATTAAATCTTAAAAATCCATTCAAGTACCTTTTTAACTATTAACAAAAATCTATCTTATTTGTGTATCGCTCAGCTGTAGATCCTCAAATCATCTGTGAATTCATACTGACACTGTGCTTCCTATTGGGGGGTGACTACTTTTTTTTCCCCATGGTCCCTGTGTGTGCTGTAAAGTAGTCACCACGCCATGCTCACTCTTGTGATGGACTACAATCTCAATACAAATTGATAAACTAAATATAAGATTGTAGTCCATCACAGGAGTGAGCTTGGAGCGGTGGCTACTTTACAACACACACAGGGACCATGGGGACCAAACTTAGCCACCCTCCAGAAGGAAGGACAGTGTCAACATGAATTAAGACATGATTTGAGGAACTACAGCCGAGTGATACACAAATGAGATACATTTTTGATAATAGTTTAGCTACTTGAATGCATTTTTAGTTTAGTGTCACTTTTAAGCCCTTGAAAGGAAACGTTCTCTTAAACGAAACTTATCAGGGAAGTATGAACACTGCTATTGCTGATCTTTTCTTGTGAAAATGTAAGATGCCTGGCTGTCACTAACATCTGGCTTCAGTGCAGATGAGGATTTTTCATTGACTTTTCTAATCTGCATTTTTGGTCTGGGTTAGTGACACATAAGATGTCTAGAATGAGATCCTAATAGGTTGGACTTGATGGACTAATGTCTTTATTCAACCTCAAATACTATGTAACTATGTAACTATATAAATCAGTTGATTGGTTTGACAGCCAGGCATCTAACATTCCCAGAATGGAAGCCCCCAATTTTCTCATCAGGTGTATGTTAAAGTGAATCAAGTGAAAGTCCATGAACCATCACACTTCTGACCACTTACTCCAAACAATAATTGGTGGGTATAGCAGTGATCGACGGATGGCAACCGTCATATGCACACATACAGATGAAACACCGGCACTTCAAATGCGTCTATTTATTGGCGTAGATGCAGCTCTCGCAGGATCTGCTTCCTCAAGCAGAACATGTGATGATCCCATGTTCTGCCTGATGAAGGGGATTCTGCAAGACCCCAAAACGTTGTACTTGTGTGATATGCTGCATCTACGTCAATAGACTCTATTGATCTGCATTTGCAGTGTTAGTGTTTCATCTCTACTTAACGGAGAACTATGACGTGAGTGCTTTTCACTCATCCTCATAGTTCTAAACGACTTGTGACAATGAAACTGTCACAGGTCGGCTCAGTAGATCGGGAAGTGAGCGAACACATACAGGCGTTCGCTCACTTCTCGATCTTGTCACGGCACAGAGCCGTGACAGGGAAGGGGCTGGATTCCCCCCTCCCTGCTCAAAATCCTCCAGCGCTGACTTGCGGAACGGACGGGGGAGGGGGCAGGTACATCTGGCTCTGCCTCTAGATAGGCAGAGCCAGCTGTTAATCACGCATCTGGGTGGATCTCGACAGTAATGTCGGGATCCGTCCCGGCTGCGGCGATCTCAGTATACTGAGCTTTGGGTGACGGGAGGCCGCTACTTTATGTCCTCCCGTGACCCTGAGGAGAACTATGGGGAAAAACACTTACCCCATAGTTCTCCTTTTAAGATTTGGAAATGAAAGATAGAAACTGATTGGTTGCCATTCACAGCAGCTCCAGATTTTGTCACTCGCACAGCTGGGCGGATCCAGACATAATTGTCAGGATCCGTTTCAGCTGCGGCGTCTCAGTATATACCGTGAGCTGTAGCTC